ACACAAGTACCACATATCACCACGATCTGACACAATTTATAACTTTCAAGAATTCATAAATAAATTCCAAAAATGTTTTCATGAATTCTATTTCTTTAAAGCAATGAAATAAATAATATTTATTCTAGTCGTGTGCTCGTGTCGCGGTAATAGCTGTCGTATTCAGATTCTCAATAGTGGAATGTATTTTTTTAATTCTGTTCGCGAAACTTTATTTCGGTATTAAAAATTACTTAGGTGCCTTAAAATAATTAATCAACGAGGTTTGTGAGTGACTGTAAGTAAGGCGTGATCAATAAGAGCAGTGGATTAAATTGACTTTACTATACGCACTCTCGTATTAGTATGTATTAAATTTTATTTTCGTCTAGAAATGTTGGTCAGAATTCTAATCTCGGCTCTTATAAATTATTAAATAAAATATTTCTAGACAATTTGAAAACCTTTAATGTGCAATATTATGATGATATTAATAGTCAATAGGTGATATTAGTGATGATAATAATTAGTAATAGGTAAAGATTATAATTATAATGCAATTAATGCTATATAAATTATTGAAAAACGCCTTTAACGAAAAAAAATCATTTACTTTTAGGTAAAGTAAACTAAACCGTTAAGTGATCTCATATTTTAAATAATTAATATACTAAATAATGTAAAAATAATGTTAATATGATAAGTAACATTTATCAGAAATTAAATGTATCAAAAATTCACTGAGTTAAGTTTTAACAGGCTATAATTCACTAAATCTAGAGAATTAAACATTTTTTACCTTGGTATTGTAGCTCAAATCAAACAGTTTATTATACGATGATCTTGCACTTAAAAATATGAGTACCTATATATTTTTCCAAGCAATTGAAATTTGAGTTTTATATTTTGATAAACCGAGTTATTACCACAACTGTCTTGATTTTAGAAAGATAATAATAATTTTCAATAATATCCTAACTTGATAACTACAATGACATGTCTTATACTTATTTATTCTTGAAAATTATAATTTGCAAGTGTTATTATGTTTATTCAGTGAAAGTAAGTAGGTATTTAAAATGCAATGCCTGTGATCAACTAATAATATAAAATTCGTTTAAGATAGGTACGTTTTATAACTATTTATGGGTGTTATAAATTATTATAATAATAGTTATATCAAAATATATTTTATATATTTTTATTATTTATAATATTATTTTAAAAGTTATATTATTATTATTGAGTGTTCTCATTAAATAGATTTCGGTCCTACAAATGTAATAGTTATATCAAAATATATTTTATATATTTTTATCATTTATAATATTATTTTAAAAGTTATATTATTATTATTGAGTGTTCTCATTAAATAGATTTCGGTCCTACAAATGTAATAGCTATAAAACAATGCTTTGGGTTCATTCCACTTTAATTAATTAATTAATTAATTTTACTCCTTTAATTAAATATTTACTAAAATTCAACTAAATCGACATTATTTATTATTGAATTTTTCTTCTTTGTAGTGAATGTAAATATAATAATAATACAAATTGTATTAACACTATGTAATATTTTAATAAAATCAAAAAAATGTTAATAATAAAACAGTTGTCTGAAATTTAAAATCAATGAATTTACTACCACCTTCCTATAGTATGTTGTAAGTTTACACTAAGGTTGGAGATGTATTGTTTAATGGTTTCATGGGGGAGGGGGGATATCAAGATTTTAATAGATACTATTTAGTATTCACAAATATTTTTATTCACAACTATTTATTATATCATTAAATATATATATGTTTTACTGTGTAAAAATTTGGTCTCCAAGAGGGGAGAGGAATATGACCCCCATATGACCCCGTAGATACGCCACTGATTGAAGCAATGTAGAAACATGCTTAAGTGTTACTTAAATAATAACAATTAAAAACATCCATGTTAATATTATTTGATACTAGGATAATAAGCAGTCTACATTCATTTATTTTATAACATTTAAGAAATTTTTTTTACTTAATTTTAAGCCATCGGTAATTACTAAACAAAAGTAAAAATGTGTAGGTATAAAATAAAATGTTAAACGAGTTTTAATTATAACTATAAATATACTACAGATATAAGGTTTTAAAAAAGTTTAGTCGAATGGATTGAAGTAGTAGCCTACCAAATTGTTAATATTATATACTAAATTATTAATCTCATATAAACTTTAAATAGGTAGGTACTTATAAATAAGTACTACTCGTTAAGAGTTAAATTTGTATATTCAGGTGCTCAGAAAATATCTTGCTTTGGAATATAAAATTTAAAAAGTATGCTGTTATTAAATAACTAAAATACTTAAGACATTTAATCGATATAGAATTAATTATAAAAATATAATTTATTTTTAAATATTGTATTGTAATATATTTAAAAAAAAATGTTGTACTGTAATAATTTCCAACATAATTGTTCTTGGGGGTGTGACCATCGCTTAAGCTTGGAAATCTTAAGGCACTGTAAATTGACTAAACAATACAATATTTACCGTTCTGCGATATGATAGACGTTTATGCATTGAACTCGGTGAAACGATAGATAATTTTACGATAATTGAGTTCAGAGGAAGTTAACAGTTTTCACAAAACAATATGACGATATAAAAAGTGGATATTTTTATTTCAATGGATCGCTTTTGGTAAAGTAATAGTACTGAAATACAAGAAATACTTGAAATTCTATATTTATCTGTAATTGTTATGAATTATGATTAACTGAATAATTCAAATAATAATATGAATAAACCTATATTAAAAACAGTTATAATAGGGAATGTTTGAAGAATGTATACTACAACACAAATAACCAGGGATCCAAATTAAAGTGTGAAAAATTGTTTTTTCATTTTCTAGAATATTAAACACTCCAATATACAATAAATTCAACAACCACAAGTCCTGATAAATTACCAGTGTACAGATGAATTTATCTTTTAAATACAAAGCACACCAAATGTTGTCAGAATTTATAACTACAGAAATTGTGGTTACATCATACAGTTCCCATGAAATTTTTAATATCTTTAATTAATAACTGGAAGACTGCGCTTCTCCGCGATAGGTACACGAGTCAGTCACCCTCTCCTTGGTTTCATTCCACTAAGACCACTAAATTATTTTTTTATTAATGTTTATTATTTTTTAATACTGCATATTTTTAATTTCTCGGTCAGAAATTATAAATTCATTAGTTATTATCCATAGTAAAATATCAAAAAGAAAATTATAATAATAATATACATTGTGATAGTTTATACTTTTGATTTATTTCAAATGTATTTTTATGTGTATAGTGATATTTTATGCTAGGCTTTAGAGGTACCTACTAATAGTTGAGTTTTTCATTTATTTGAGTATCAAACGAAAGTCATATACAAAATATACTCTTAACGATTTATTTAAAAACCAAGAATATTTTAAAAATTATTATTTTTTTTTATTATTATAAAATGTATATTTAAAATATTATGCAAATTACTAATTTGTTAGTACAATTTTAATCATTTTAATAGAATGTATATTATTATTGCATTAACGATTTATGAAGATATGTTTTCTAGACTTCTGGTACTAGTGACAGTCTACGCTTGTCGTTTATAGTACTCGCGGTCGTCCGCACGTTAAGCATTCTATATTCAAGGCGCATATTTTTACGCAAATTATGAACATGAGTAAAAAATCTCCAAACATATCTCACATATCTACTTACAATCTAAGAAAATAGACGGCCAACGTTGCTCACTCGTCACCTGAAAATAATAAAGACGAATTCTCACCTTGGTCGAGTTTAAACAACACAAAATATCATAGAAATTGACATACTGGAGGTAAGGCAATAAGTATTAATCGGAAAACTTCTCTAAAGCAAAAATGCTCTCTACTCCTAGAAATTACAGGGATTCTTATTCCCATTTTCTATACGCTAACTATGGACACGAGACCCAGTAAAAAATCATTTCGAAACATATCTAATTATATAACGTTACTTGGATCAAAAAAGAAACCACCAGCGTTATTGCTACTCATCGTCTGAAAATAATAAAACAAATTCTCACCTATATCGGACCTAAATGATAAAAATATCATAAAAATCGATAAATCTCTCTAAGGCTTATAATCTAAGCTAAAATTTCGATCTACTCTTGTTCAGACAAATTTTTCGTCCTCCATTATTATAAACAGTCGTGGTCGTTTGGGGTTATTGTGTGAAACGATATAATATATATACTTAGGGGAAAGCGGGGTATTACCGTATGTGGGGCAAAATCGTATAATCAGGATTTTATCAATAATTGATATCATGGAAAAAAACTGAACACACTGATTTGAAACGTTTTGTTTGTTTATTTATTAAATATGATAATGAATTAATGCGCGTGTTTTGCTATCACATATTAGAAAAAAGCTATTTGAAGTGTTCAATAATTGCAAATATAAATAGTGTAATTTGCATTTCTAGTTTGGATACATTAATTTATCTACTTAAAGTTTTTTTATAAAGATCGATTTATTTTAATAGTCTTGTTGGAGCAAAATTGTATAACTATACCCCAGGAATACATACGGTTTTACCCAAGATGTGGACCAAGTAGCCATACGTGTTCGGCGCCATTGAGCTAGGCTATCGCTCAGAATCGGTACATACAAAAAAATATTTCAAACAATTTACAATTATATATTTTATACATTATATATTTAGTTATACATTATAATATTGTAGGAATTAACGAGTGGATACAAAAACATAATAAGACTAACGTTATACAAATAAAGTTAGTTAGACATGAAAAATACGATATTCATCAGAATCCTGACATCAGGCCTCATGTAATACTTTATAGACGCAGCCGTTCTATGTCGGTCTTCAGGCGGACGGGCGACAGACCAGCTGCTGCTGACGTTCGAAGCGTCTAGAAAATCTGCGAAAACTGACAGACGTGTCACCAGTGCGTCGCCTTAGAGACGTCAGCCGATGGTTGGACGCGTGGATACGTCATCAGATGTCACAACAAAACATGCATCGTGGACGCGGCGTTCAACCGGCCGCTGGTACTGTCATTCGGACAACGTCGTCGTCGATCCATCAGCTGTCCTAAAGACGCCGCCGTCAACGCCGGAATTCTTGCGGTGGCTAGCGGACTGCCAAGTCCTGACCGGACGCGACGGCGACGCGGCCAGGAGGCGGTGGTCTTCCACCAGAAACGTTGCGTTGCCGTCGGAACTGGAACAGGGAACAGCTGAAGAAACGCTGTGGACGGACCACACGCTGGAAACCAAGAATTGTCACCCCACGCTGCATAAGCCGTCAGCTGTCCCCTGTTCCAGTTCCGACAGCAACGCAACGTTCCTGGTGGAAGATCACCGCTTCCTGGCCGCGTCGCCATCACGTCTGGCCAGGACTTCCCGAGTTGACGGCGGCGTCTTTAGGACCGCGGATGGATAAACGACGACGTTGTCCGCTGACAGTACCAGCGGCGGTTGAACGCCGCGTCCACGATCGCCATGGCAGTCCGGAAGGCTGTCTAATTCGGCAGCCAGATCTGTCTGTAAACCGGTGCATCCGGCTCGTCGAACAGATCCAGTCCCATTATCTCGGCGTCCGACCTGTAGAGCCGGTGTGTGGGCTGATCCGCCCCGGCCACGATGTCTCCTGCTTCTTGGACATTAGTCAGTCGCGGCTGTGCCGAGACATCCGGCGAGGGATCATTTCTGCGGCTAGGCTGCTTTGTACCGGCGACGTTCCGGTCCACGTCCCACATTCGAGGAAAATTGAACTTTGCGGCCCTCAGTTACACAAAAACATTTCATTTCTTCAGCTCCCGCGGAAAGCGACTTGTTTTCAAACGGTTTCATAATAATGATACGATTTAAATAGGTACAATTACAATACAGAATATAATCAATACGATACTATAACGATGTCAAACCAATGACAGGAGTTTAACAAATGGGCGATTATCAAAAATTATAGGCTGTGTGTTTTAATCAAATCATAAGCAACGGGATGTTTGTTGATTTTTAATAAGCCAGTATTACTCAGTATAAAATATATGCACTAATTTCAAATACAAAAAATATATTTTAGATTCTGAGCGGAGCGAAAGAATGTATTGGTTATACAATGGTGTGTGCCAAGGTGGACAAGTGGATACCGCTCTGTTGTACTAAAGTAGTTGCCGAGTATGGATTTAAAAACTTAAAAAGTTGCATTTTGTTAAAAATTACATGATTTATAAACCATAGAAACTTAATCATACGGCACTGCCCCACCTTCCCCTATAGTTCAAATGTTCTAATCAAAAATATTAAAAATAATTTAAAATGTCCATGATTCATACTGAACAAAGTACTTCAGTTCAAACTGAGTTCAAGCTACCTCCAATCAAAAACCATCGAAGTATAATATTGTGTAATATACTTTCAATAAACTTCTTGTCTAAATAATACAAGTCGTGAATGTATACAAGTAGATAACAAGCCTTACAAGCCTGTCTTTCATTGGCTAAAATTTGGAAACTCTCATGTTTGTTTAAAATAAAAAAATTAATTTAATAATTTATCATAATATACGTAAATAATAAAGAGAAAAGACACCAATGTTAATCACTATATTCTATTAGATATATAATATAATTAATTTACTACTTATTTATAATCATTATAAAAATGGCTATATTTTTGTATAATGATAATAAAATATGTAATAGGTATATTCCATCACTGAGTTTTGATGACTAATAGGTAATCAGAAAAACTTAAATTGTAATTTTAAAAAAGAGAATAAATATTGGACTAAATAATATGTAAGATTTAGTTTATGTGAAAGTATTTATTCGTCTAAGCTACGATTAGTATTAGTAAAAAACATTTTAAAATTCATAGTAGAAATCTTTAGATATCATTTATATTTATTTCCAGTGTTTTATAAGGGTATTTTATAATAATATAATTATAAAACAATTTACTATCTGTAGAGTTTAATAACAATAATTGTAATTAAAAGAACTTATTTTAAATGTAATTTCCTACCTACTTTTCAAATTTAACTTTAAATATTTAATTCATGCACTTTGTGTTATAAACGGTTTGTACATTTAATGTAAAGTAAGAAACTAAATATTATGTTATCGTATAGTAAATTATAAAATAATATTATATAATTACTAATTACCGACCATATCTAGACTTAGTTTTATGAATATTTAATGTTAGGTGTAATTGAATTAAATTTTTAAACCATTATCAAGATCACGAAACAAGATGTCGAGTAAGACTGTTTATGACCAAGATTGTATTCTTAAAACAAACGTAAAACCAACAAACAGGGAGGAATCAAACGTTCATTTTAGACTTCATAATTTATATTATAGTCTTTTATTATTTGGCTGTAAAAACATTGCCATTTCCGACCTCATCCATGTAGTTAAAATTATATACATACTAAAAATAGATGATATTTTTTTTAGCTTTGTATCCAATATGCGTTAGATTCTAGATGGTTTGTGTTGAGTCGAATAAGTCTGAAAGAATTAATTATGTTATCATTTTACACGTTTCCAAACGATGTACAGTGTTGACTTCAATATGACGTTTCATAATTTGCCATAATTTACCCCAAATTGTGTTTAGGTATATTATAATAATAAATAATAAGAATATTAGGGATTGCATTTTCTCTTGATTTTCTTTCCCATGCATTAATTAATTACAATCATGGCAACATCCTGAATCGGAAAATCAAAATAGTATAATAGCTACAACAGTCTGTCTCTGACAACCAAATTTTCTTTTAGAAAAAATAATTAATATCACAAGAAATTTTGTTTTTGGGAAAATATTATCTCTCAAACTGTAATACTCGACACTGGTTCTACTTGATTAGTTAATTGTATTGTTTATTCAAGTAAAGCCGTGTACTGCATTAATATGACATAAAACAATTACAAATCAAGTTAATAAATAAATAAGTTGATAAATTAAAATTTGCTGATTTACTATAAAATGTATACCTTATCTATGTATTTAATTAATGTTAATAATCTGTATAGATACATAATATATATATTAAATACGTTAAACAAATTATTATAATATGGTAACAAATTGTGACAGTGGGAAATATTCGTCATAAAAGTAGTAATTAAGGTAACAAACGTAATCAGCTGGTATACAACACGAAATTCAAATTTAATGTACATTTATCATACGCCAAAAACAAAATTATTTTTGTATGTCATATAATCGATAACCACCCAATCATTTAAATTAATTATTCTGCATAAATCCAGTATAGGTATTTAGTAGGTACTTAAATCGGATATAGTAGCTGGTACACTTAATGCACTAAATTAGGCAGTAAAAAATATTCATAAACGTGATACATTTCCAAATGGTAGTGTTCTAACATTGTGTAAATACTTTGACCAAAGTTCAACGTAATATTTATTTTATTTTTTATTTTAAAGTCATAAAATATCGATGACAATAATTATAAAAAAAATGCAAAATCATAAAGATAATTTTTAATTTAAAAATGTTTTTTTTAAATTATCATCAGTTCAATGGCTACATAGGTACTATTAATTAAAAATGAAAACCAATGAAGCATAATAATTGATTTATGGCAAATAAATGTGCGTATAAAATTATAATTTTGTGAGTTTTATAATATCAAAAATAGTTATAGCCAATAATGGAATCAAAAGTAAAATAATAAAAAATATATAAACTGTATTATTGTATATTCCGTGTAATTTATTATTATTACATAAAATGTGGTGAATTATAGGTATAATTTTTATTAAACCAAGTATAGTACAAAATTGAAAAAAAAATAAAAGAACAAATAATTTTATAACCAATATTGTCATATTATATTGTACCTATACTTTATATTATTAATTTATCATTTGTTATTTTTTCCACATAACTATATTAATTTGTTTCATTTCGTCAACCTCAAAATGAACAAAAACGTTATGGTCTATATAGATGATAATACGATAGGAGTACTTGTACATGCTAGTACATATTATAATATTATAAATATATAGTGATGTTAAAATACTACAGTATTTTGTTGTTGTAGTTGTTGTTGTATAATACTGTATTATACCATTACTATACCGTATAAAATATTGTTAGAAATTGAACATAGGTTATAAAACCTGGGTGTATATTATTATGACCAATTTTAAAATGGATACTTAATTTCAGAAAATATTTTAAACCCCACAAATATTCAATCATTATTTTAGAGTAAACTAATATTTTAATTCATGCTAGCAGTCCTGATATTATATAACTAGTGACTAGAAATAATTTTAATTTAAAATAGTGGAGTTAGAAAATTATATTCTTAATTAATATCAAATTAATTTTCCAAGAACATTAACTATTTTGTTTTTCTCATATTTACGTGTATAATTCCACAGACTAGAATCTCGTATAATATTCAATATTTCACTAAGCTCTTTGTATAATACAAACTCACACCTGTAGAAAATATACACGATACGATTGCAACAATTGCTTGTCGTTGAACAATGATTTCGGGTATAATATCGAAATAAAATAATAATATAAATCCCAAACAATGAATTATACACACTATGACAGATGACTAAAAACTATAAACGGCCAACGAGGTGTACGTGCGCAATCGAGAGGCTGCACCACCATTACACCACCACTGTCGACATATTGTGTTTAGGAGCTTGCGATTTATGGGCGAAACGTTTACGGTATTTTTCCGACCACGGTAACGTCGACGTGCTCGGAACAAGTCGCTAAAAACCCATTACGAGAAAAACTATAAGTCACGAATTTGTATTTCCGGACAGCTTTTGTGTCATACAGAAATATTGAAAGCGGCCGTAATTTATTTTATTCATAATAATGCCGTGGTCGTAATCGATTACACATTGAACGTTATTGCAGAAATCTAGAGCCGACGAGTACGTGGACCATTGTTTTATTTGACAATAATTTTATAACATTTCTTCTTGGTCACCACCGCAATGTTATTATTCGTCATACAAAAATTGTTACTTATAAAAACATCCAAAGGTCGTCGGTTAGCTGAAACGTCGTATGCACGATTAATGTCACCTATAATTATAGTCGATTCAATTGGAACTTCATATTATTGTATTTAAAATAAGTGTGGACAATTGTATTAAATTAAATCTAATGCTGTCCAAAAGTTATGTATACACACAATTTGTTTTTAAAAACAAAAATATCATTCCATTTCGAGTAAAAATTATATCAAATTTAAAGCCAGAATATAATAGGGAGAAAATTAAGTATAAAAGAGTTTATTCGATTCAAATACTTTAAAAACACTGATTATTAAGTTTAAATTTCTAAGAAACGAATACCTAAGTTTCGTAGTGGTTAAAAGTTCTGATATAATATTTTACCTACCTATTAGGCTATACCTATACTTCTAATGCACAAATGCACAATGTATTGAATTTGATTCGGTGACGTTTGTTCTTTTAGACTTTTAGAGCATTCGATGCTGGAACTTCGGAGTATAATAACTTCTTCGCATCATAATTCATTACCTACCTACAATAAAATAAATCATTTTTTTTTGCATTTTTATGCCATATAAAATTTATTTCAATTAATCGATATTTTTTTCCTATTTTTTTGAATAATTTTTATCATATTTTTTTATATGAATAAATATTTTAAAATATGTCTCTTAATCGAACAACTAATGATAACATTTTATACATAATATGACTAA